GCCACAGAGGTTCTACGAACGGTTGACTGAAAGACACTGACAAAGCCCACTTAAGAACAACAGTGAAGGGGCGTCTGGGTGGCTCAGTGGGTTAAAGCCTCTGCCTTCAGCTTGGGTCGTGGTCCTAGGGTCCTGGGATCAAGCCCCGCATTCCCCTGTATCAGGCTCTCTGCTCAGCAGGGAGCCTGCTTCCTCCTCTCTCTCTGCCTACTTGTGATCTCTGTCTGTCAAATAAATAAATAAAATCTTAAAAAAAAAAGAACAGTTAATTCTCTCTATTTCTATTATAGCATAAAATAATTGCAAAGAGCAGCAAAGACACATGAATAAGTTTAACATGTCTATGCTATACCTTCATAGCTGTAAAACATAGTCTCTAGGATAATCATAGATTTTATTTTTCTTTCCTCATTTACCAAATGAACAACTGCTGAGATTTGAGTGTGCTCAAAGTTTCATTCTATAGGATGTCTAGTGTGGGTAGTTAATTCACAAGGAGAAAAAAAAAAGGCTACCTTAGCTCATTAATATCTCCACTGGTATTATATAGGTCAAGGAGTATTATAGGTCAAAAAAGACGAAAAGTAGTAGAGAAACAGAGAATCTATACTTTGCCAGATGTCAAAAAACCAACTACCATTGGGTGGAACATGGGGAATACGATAGTGAAAAAGAAGCAGGAAGGATTAGGGAAGACCCTTTTTTCAATAATTTAATATCCATTTACTGCCTGCCTATCCCTTAACTGTTCTCAGGACAACTAACAATACTCTTAGAAATCTAGTTACCAGGTGAGCTTTATTCTGTTTAACTGTATTTTAACTGTATGGGTTTAACTGTATTCTACATTAGGAAAAATATAAATTGCAATTTAAAAAAACTAGAGCAAGGGACCAAGTTCCTAACAGTGACTGTCTTTTTGTCTCTTTAGTGCAAATGCCATTAAATATTCTTGAATAGAAATGGGAAATGTATATCGTGTATTTAATAAAAGGTAATGCTTTTCTTTTGGAAAAGAGTGATATTATGTAAATATCCATCCACCCGAATAATTCTTTCTTTGTTGTAATCATGGAAACTTTAAATAAGAATCATTAGGCCCAAGAAAATTGTCTGAAATCAATCCTTTCAAAATAGAGACTAGCAGTTTTTAGAGGTAAAAGGAAGTATACCAAATCTGACATTTCTGATCCCTATTCTCTATCATCACTCTGAAAATATAGTTAGGCAAGGTATTTTGTGTGTGCTTTAAATAGTGCAAGGTTGAGTTACATAGGAATACAAATTTGTATAACAACATTTTAAAAGCCTAATGTTTTAAATATGAGCTGACTAGGAATAAATATAAAAGAATTCTATTTAGACCATTTCTGTCCTTGATCCCAGGTTCTTCATCCCTACAATGTCCTGAGAAACCGATCTCTTTCATACAACACACTGGGCCCTTACTGTCAAGTTCTACATACTCCAGGTAATCAAACCACACCCAGAAAACCTGCACCACTCTATTACCCAGGAGATCTTAGGCTTGTCTACTTGCAGGAGCCATGCCAAACATGTTAGATCATGTTCTGGTTAATCCAAAGACCCACTATGACAACCTCCTCTTTTCCCCCTAGTATTCCAAGGAGCCCAGTATTAGGATTCCAAAACAGAAAACCTGCTTAAAGCAGAAAGTATAATGAGGGGCATAATCTTCTGTTCACCTAAACTCTGTTCCTGGTTCTGCTAATGTGAGTTCACTCTTTAAATTTCAGTTTCTCCATATACATAATGGATATAAAAGGTTATCAGTTTTCCAAGGATGTTCAACAATCATATATCCAAAAAAAATATTTAACTCCTTGAAAAAAATGAGACATATGATATGCATGAAAACACACACACATTTTAATGATCATAGAGCAAATGCTGTCTTACATCTTACTGGAGAGGAAGTGAGTTTTCTTAAGTAGCATCTAGAATGCATAAAGCTGTGCAAATTAACTGGTATCCAATAAATGCTTTTTTTAATGAACAGAACTCAAATATTCTTACATTAGGTAATTAAATTTACTGTGTTATTCTTCTCTATTTTAAAAATTTGGTTTGAGACAAATTTAGGCCTTTTTGAAAATTCAGTGTCAAAGCTAACTATACCATAAGAATAAAATACAAAATAAACAGTCACCATATAAACCATATTTATACACTACTTTATTGAAATGAGATTTAATTTGGCCTTTATTATTTCAAGGCATCAAATGTTTCAATTAATTAACACCACGACAGTCTGAAATAGCCCATTTTACCTGATGAAATAAAATGGCTTTCAATATAGTTAGAAGCTAAGTCAGGTTACTAAGGGAATGGCAGTGCATGACATTACTAGCCCCTTGATGGCTTACCACAAAGTTAAGAAACGTTTGAAGACTGCTTTAAAGACAATTGATTTCTATCCGTTCATATCTATTTTGACACAGTGAGAAAGGAGAATAAAATTCTCTTATTTTACACTGACAAGGGTGGTTGAGAGATAAGCAGACTTTGTAAACGTAAACTCTTGCAACTACTGGATTAAGTCTAAAGTATAAAAAGTTTGAATATTCTAAGGGAAAATTATGAGAAAAGAACTATGACAATACAAACTTAGCTTTAACTCACTTTTTAAGGAAAAATGAATGCTTAACTGATTTGTTTCAGTTTGAACTAATTAGTTTCAGCACATAATACATCAGTTGTATAACACAAACTAAAAAGTTATCATAGTCTATTCTAAAGTGTACTTCAGAAACTAAAGTATAGGGGCACCTGGGTGGCTCCGTCGTTAAGCGTCTGCCTTTGGCTCAGGTCATGGTCCCAGGGTCCTGGGATGGAGCCCTGCATCACTCAGCGGGAGGCCTGCTTCTCCCTCTCCCCCTGCTGTATTCCCTCTCTCGCTCTCTATGTCAAATAAATAAAAATCTTTTAAAAAAACCCAAAAAACTAAAGTACAAATAAAGCAAAAAACTTTGAACAGAAACATTAACAGTAGAGAGTAGAGTATGCGATCTATGGATTGCTGAAAATATACTTTTAAAATATTTTAGAAAATTTAAATATAATAGGTGTAGTCATATATGTAATACTCTATAAGACAAGTCATAAGTTTGAAACCAAAGGTCTGATTTCTACTTGTCACTTATCCCTCCTTACGGAACTGATTTCTCTTTAAATCTAAGAGCCTCGGGTCTTTTTTTTTTTTTAATACCTAGGTTATCCTTGTCCTCTCCTCTTATCTTACCTCCCAGCTGTCATCACCCAGTGTTTAAAAAAAATTTCCTTGTGTTTTCTGGCATTCTCTTCCTAAATACTACAATGAATCTACCCTTAAACGTATTCCCCCTATTCTAAAACATCTTTTGACCTAGATTAGTAAACTTCTGGGGACCCTACTGTAATTGGATCGTGCACTCAAACAGTGCTTCTCTAGGAAGGGATGATGGTACCCTTATTCATCCTACCAAGGATCCTTCAATGTTCCAAGAGATGGTACAGAATGAAACAGTTAACAAAAACTTCCTTCCACAAACACATGGTATTTTTTTCTTAAATAGAATTCTTTCCTAGAACTCTCTTCTTCTATAGATTTTTTAAAAGTAATCTCCACAGCCAACGTGAGGCTTGAACTCACAACCCCAAGATCAAGAGCTGCATGTTCACCGACTGAGAGAGCCAGATGCCCCCTTCCTAGAACTCTGTTAAACTCCACTGTCCTTACAATCAAAACCATGAACACCTGCTTCTTCTATCATACTTCTCACTCCTGGGTTCCACAAAGAAAATAGGTTTCAACAAAACTAAATTCTAGAACAGTTTCTGTAGTTGACAGTAGCAAGAGATTCTACAAATGACCTGCAGAATGTTGTTGTTTTTTGGATAAATGACAGTGCAAGTGAGTACCTAAGTGAAGTGATACAAAAATGTTCTTTGGTAGTTACAGGAAAAAGATCTTTGCATATTGGAGGCAGGGATGAAAGGAGGGATTTTCAAAATGTTGCAAGACTCCTAACTTCGGTTCTCATCTTCCATAAAAAAGTGTTCATTAGGAATTAGCATAGGTTTGGAATGACCTGCTTTAATCTTTTGAGCCTCAGTTCCTTCATCTGCAACATGCTGATACTAACACTACTTTCACCTCACAAGGTAATTGTGAGGATTAAGTAAAGAACACATACAAAACTAACAGTACAGCGGTTGGTGCACTGAACGACTTAAAAACGTGAGTTTCAGAAATCTGAAGGATATAGTATTCCTGCCTTCATTCAGAAATAAAAAATCTTAAAAAATAAAAGAAATATAAATCTGTTTCAAGTTATATTGAGAAACTTAAAGGCTACCTTGGAATACTGATTTAGATGAAATAAAATCTAACAGGGACAAAAGTTTCATGTTAAAATAGAACTTTATAAAGAAATACTTAGAAGTCGTTATATTGATAAAATGTCACGAAACTTTAAAAAATGCCAATTCAGCTATAATCATATGTGGCTGTTCCTTTCAAAATTAAGTCACCATTTTTTTTTTCTTTGACACTACAGTACTCTGCTTTCATTAAAAGCCTATAACAAGACACTGCTTCTCCGATACCGAAACCTTTTGGAAACCTGGCTCAGAGGAAGCCACACATTGTTTACAGTGCAAGAAAGAATCCGTGTGGTCATTCTAGAACAACTGTCACTGTCAATAGCATGACTGGCTGTCTCATAGGGACTTGGTTCATGCAGAAGTGTAGGGTAAGGCCGGTGTCTGAAACAAAGTCGACAGCCAGGGTGCCTGAAAGGGGAGAGGTTTAACTGAGAATCGTAGAGGATGAGAGTGTGACTGCGGTGAAGCCGCCCGGGGTGGGTGGGGGGACAGGATCAATTCCGGGGTCGCACCGCCCGCTCCCGAAGAAAAGGGACGCAGATGTTGCCCTCCCTGGGCGACCCCACCGCTTTCTTCCCGGCGCCGCCTCCCCCTCCCTCCAGCCCCGCACTTACCTTTCTCGTCCTCATCGATGCGCAGGGCAATGGAGATGTACTCGAAGGCCTGTTTGTGGAAGGCTCGGACGCTCTCGGCCTCCCCACCCGGCACTGGCGCCGGGGGCGAGGCCGAGGCCGGCGCCGGCGCGGCCCGGGAGCTCCTCTTGGCAGCCATGAGGGCGCGGGAGAAGCGCTGGCAGAGCCACACGAAGAGGAGCCCCAGGTGGAAGGCGACCAAACGCAGCAGCGCGAAGCCTACGAACAGCGGGTAGGAGAAGTAGTACAGGTTTCGCTTATGCAGCGACTCGGGAGGGGGGGCCGGTCTGGGGGCGGGACGGGCGGGGGCCAGGCAGGGGGGCGGAGGCCTGGGAGGCACCGGGCTGCTGCAGCCGCCGGAGCCTTTCTTCTTCCCTCGTCCACCCGGAGAATTCATTCACAGCTCCCACTGCCGCCGCCGCCATAACCCGCCTCCCGCAGACCGACGGCGACCAAGCCACGGCGGCGGCCGCTGGGACGGCGAGGGCCACAGACGCCCGCGCGCCCGCCGGTCCCGAGAGCTCGGCACCTCCACACGCTGCTCGCCGGCCCCGCCCCTTTCTCCTCGCTCGGCCAGGAGCACAACCCCTTTCCTCCTCCGGCGGTCGGTGGTTCCTGCCCCTCCCGCTCTGTGTCCTCTCAGCCTCCTGGTAGCTCCGAGCTGTGGCCGCGCACGCGCACGCCTGCCCATGTCTTTCTCTAGCGCGCGCGCGTACGCCGCCGTCTTTGTTGCCCTGAGCTCCTAGTGCGCGTGTGCAGCTCCCGGCCCTCGGGCTCTTCCGTGTGGAACTATAGTTCCCAATGTGCAATTCAGCTACGTCTTCCTCAGGGATCCGTCGCTCTACAGACTACGCTATCCCCGGGGAGTTGCTTAAGCTGAGAACCTCGGTCACCAATTTACCGTGGGGACAGCTGCGGTTTGGGCTCGCTCGACTGGCTCGCAGGGCTACTATCTCGCAGTGCTATCGCTTTATATTTCTTTCAGCATTTTCTGCCAGTCTCCGGGGAAGGATGATTGATCTTCCATCTCAAAAGTAATGGGTACCAGGGGTGCCTGGGTGGCCCAGTGGGTTAAGCCTCTGCCTTTGGCTCAGGTCATGATCCCAGGGTCCTGGGATCAAGCCCCGCATCTGGCTCTCTGCTCAGCAGGGAGCTTGCTTCCTCCTCTCTCTCTGCCTGCTTCTCTGCCTGCTTGTGATCTCTGTCTGTCAAATAAATAAATAAAATCTTAAAAAAAAAAAAAAAAGTAATGGGTACCATGAAAACAATCTCAATGTCCATCAATAGGAAAGGAATTAAATGAATTTTGGAATACCCATATGTAATTCTGTGGAGCATTTAAAAAAGAATGAAGTGGATTTTTATGTACTGATAAAGAAGGGTGTCCATGATTATTTGTTAGGTGAAAATAGGATATTACAGACCAGTGTGATGTGGTCGTATTTTGTATTAAAAAGAATAAATGGAAAGAAAAAAGTAATGGAGACCAATCTGGGAATTATTCTCTGAGAGGGAAGCAACTGTAGAGACATATAAACTTAAAGTCACCAAAACCAAAAATGTTAGTCCAGTGAAACGAAGTGAGCAACTCTAGAGATTTAGTTAGTATGTGTTTAGATGCCTATTTTGAAGAATTAGTTTGAATAGGGGCATTCCTAGGTTTCATACAGTGATCATCCCACAGTTTACTGAAAATCCAAACTGGGCTTTGTTTGGTTGGTTGTTTTTTTGTTTTTTTTTTTTTTCTTTAACCTACTGGATGTCCCTTCCTTTGGGAACTACCCACTCACCTCTGCTGCCTGTATACCAATGACCTGCAAGCACTGACCGGCCTCCCAGATCAGAGATGGTAACACGAGGTTACTATACTCTCCTAGAAACTGGAGTTTGGGATGGACACACTGGAATAGAAGGTACTAGGAACTGAGTGCTCTAAAAAGCTGGTCTGTCAGTTTGTCTGATTGAGATCCCCAGAGCTGCCAGTTTCCTGGACTGGTCACTTGATAGTGTAACCTATCCAATAAACTATTCAGTCTGTTTCTCTATTTCTCTGATTCTCTCTCCCTTTGCCCATCTATCTCCCTTTTCTCCTCTCTTCTCTTTTTCTTTTTACTTGGGTTAACCATAGTTGTTTCTTATTGTCTAAAAATAAGGAGTCCTAACTGATACAAAGTTCCCATTGTTTACAGAGTGGGATTTGCAAAAGTTTCATGCCCGCTTTCAAAAATTCTGGCCACAACTTTATTTAAATTTCCCCACCACTACTCCCCTACAAACATAAATTATTGCAAAAACGACCTGTCCCCTGTTCCCCTCCAGCTGCTCCCTACCCCTTTTCTGCCTCTGTGTTTCTACCAATTTCTCATTCTCAAATGTCCTCTCTCACATCTGATTTTTTTTAAAGATTTCACTTATTTATTTGACAGACAGAGATCACAAGTAGGCAGAGAGTCAAGCAGAGAGAGAGAAAGAGGAAGGCTCTCCGCTGAGCAGAGAGCCCGATGCAGGCTCGATCCCAGGACATTGGGATCACGACCTGAGCCGAAGGCAGAGGCCTTAAACCCCTGAGCCACCCAGGCGCCCCTATATCTGATTTTTTAAATAAAATTTTTATTTATTCATTTGAGAGAGTGCGCACAAGCAGGGGGGAGGTGCAGAGCAGAGGGAAAAGCAGACTCCCCACCAAGCAGAGAACCCTATATGGGGCTTGAGTCCAGTACCCTGGAATAATGACCCAAGCCTAAGGCAGACAACCAACTGAGACACCCAGGCACCATCTTTCACTTCTAATTAATTTCAATTCCTGACTTCTCTCTTTGGAAACCCATAGTACTTTTTGTTGTTACGTGAAATCTATAAGTATATCATGTAAACAAGATGTATATAACGTTTTTTTTTTTTGAGATTTTATTTATTTGACAGAGAGAGAGCACAAACAGAGGAAATGGCAGGCAGAGGGAGAGGAAGAAGCAGGCTCCCACTGAGCACAGAGCCCGATGCGGGACTCCATCCCAGGACCCTGGGACCATGACCTGAGCCCAGGTGCCCAAGATGTATATAACTTCTATGTGTCAAGAAAAACTAATGTAACCAGTTCCTTGCACTTTTTGAGCCCCTCCCTAATCTCAATTTCATTTCTCCCTCCTTAGAGAAAGCCACTGTCCTGAATTTTGTATTTGTTTTTCCTTTGCCTTTCATTTTAGCTTTGCAATGTACATATGTATTTCTAAACAATATATTGTGTAGTTTTGCCTGGTTTTACCTTATACAAATGCAGCCATACCACATGTATTCTTAATTAGCTTTCTTCTGCTCAATAGTTAAGTATTTGCAATAACTCTGTTAATTTGTATAGCTATAGTACATTTATTTTCACTGCTATGTAGTATTCCACTATATAAATTTACAATTTATTTTACCATTCAACTGTTGATGGATATTTAGTTTGGTGCTACTTTTGTTTTTGTTTTTCCTTAAATAACTTTTTAACTTTAACACAGCTCAAAGTAGAGTAGCTCTGGAGTCAGACTGATTGCATTTAAATCCCTGCTCTACCACTTTCTGTGATCTTGGACTACTGAGTGACTCAGCTTTCACATCTATTACGTTATAACAGAGTAGTAGGCAGTGCCTGGAATGAAGTTGCTGCTTGACATTTGTTGATTGAAGAATGGTTCTCTCTCACATCTACACATATACTATAATCCACTAAAATGAATTACTGTCAAGTTTCCAAACATTGTTTGCTCTTCCTAGGACCACAGTTATCCTCAGGTCATTTTTCTTTCTCTTAGAATTGCTTCTCCTCCTACTTCCACTGTCAAAATCTTTCATGGCTTAACTGTAATGTTAACTTCTGATAAATCCTTCCCTCATCACCTCTTGCAGAAACAATCCTATCTTTTAGTTCTTTTTTTGTAAGATTTTATTTATTTATGTGACAGACAGAGATTACAAGTAGGCAAAGAGGCAGGCAGAGAGAGAGGGAGAGGCAGGCTCTCCGCTGAGCAGAGAGCCCAATGCGGGGTTCAGTCCCAGAACCCTGGGATCATGACCTGAGCTGAAGGCAGAGGCTTTAACCCACTGAGCCACCCAGGTGCCCCTATCTTTTAATTCTTATGACAATTTGGTTGTGTTACTCTATGACTTTTTTAATATGTTTCCTGTGTGATAGTTATTTAAATACTTTATTTCTTCCTGATATAAATTATGAACTTATTTCAAGACAACTTATTTGAAGCCAAACTTTACACATTTTGGCTTACTTTCTGCACCTAGCTTGATGCCTTTCTTATGGTACTCAATAATTTGAAAAACAATTTAAACAGGTGATTGTTATAGATATCTGTTGCCATGTAATAAAACATTCCAAAAATGTACTGGCCTAAGATTATAGCCATTATTTACTCATGATTCTGTGGGTGAGCAATTTGGGCTGGGTTTACCAGGCAGTTCTTCTATTGGCCTTGCTTATCGCTATTCACATAGATGTTAGTCATCTGATGGGTTGATTGAACCTGGGTGCCCTAGCTATCCTCCCTCACATGTCCAGATGGTGGTGGTGGCTGTTGGTTGGGGCACGTGTCTCCAGTAGGGTATTCCAGACTTCTTTACATAGCATCTGCCTTCCAAGAGAGCAGGAGTGGGAGCTGCAGGGTCTCTTGAAGCCTAAACTCCACATTTGCACATTATCATTTCTGCAGCATTCTGTCATCAAAGCAAATCACAAGGCCAGCTCCAAAGTAAGAGATGGGAAAATAAATTCTATACTTGATGGAGGAGTGGCAAAGTCACATTACAAAGGGGCATATATACGTATATATTTAGGGATGGAAGGAATTATCGTACCATCTCTGCAAGTAATCTCTCATAGTGATTATGTGTAGAATTTCCTTTTACCTTAAATTCAGATTTCAACTTAAATCTTAGATTGATTGCTCATCTAAGAAAGCATTTCCCAATGATCTTGCTGAATCATAAAAACCTACTTAGTTTTAATCATGAGGTAAATTAACACACTTAATTTTTTTAAAAGATTTTATTTATTTATTTGACAGAGAGATAGAGAGCATAAGTAAGCAGAGTGGCAGGCTCTCAGGCTGAGCAGGGAGCCCATGTAGGCTCGATCCCAGGACCCTGGGATCATGACTTGAGCCGAAGGCAGCTGCTTAATTAACAGAGCCACCTAGGTGCCCCAACACACTTAAATTTTTAAAGATTTTTATTTATTTCTTTGGGAGAGAGAGAGAGAGAGAGAGAGAAAGCACAAGTAGGGGGAGGGGCAGAGGGAGAAGGAGGCTCCTCAGTGTGGGGGCTGGATCCCAGGACCGTAGGTTCATGACCTCAGCCAAAAGCAGACCCTTAACCAACTGAGCCATCCAGGCACCCCAACACACTTAATTTTAAGATTATTTACTACCAGCTAATATTTATTGAATCCATATTCTGGGCTAAGCAGGTTAACTTACACTGTCTTATTCAACCATCGCTATTTGAGTTAAGCATTATCGTCTCATTTTAATTTATTTATTTTTCTTTAAAAATAAGGAACTTGAAGATCTAACAGTTTGTTAAGTAGCATCACATATTAGTTAATGACATATACTACTCCAGAGAGTTAAGGTAA